TCGGGAGAGGCGTCGCTCGGGGCCGGCTGGGGCGTTGCAACATCTATAGGCGCGCGGCCGCCTGACTGGAAGAACCCCCTTGGGGCTGGCAGAGGCTGCGGCACACCTGGCGCGCGAACGGTTTCAGATGGGGCCGGCTGAGAGTGTGCACGCCCCTGTGTGCCAACCCCTCCGCCGGGCCCAGCCTGGGGCCGGCAGAGGGGTTGCTACGTTGTTGTTGCTGCTGCTGTTGTTGGGTGTTAATGACTAAACATTATTATCGTTGGATCCCCCAGGCGCCCGGGCGCTCTCGTCCTGGCGCCGGCTACATTTTCATCAAAAATGAGGCTCACGCTCGAGCGGTTCTGTGGGGCGCCCAAACCGGCCCCCCAACAACAACAACGCTGCCGCTCGAGTTTTTTTTTTCGTTTTACCCAGAGCCGGTGTTCTTGCTCGCCGCCGATGACCGCCGCCCAAGCAAAACCAACGCTCCGGCTCGAGACTTCCCCCCGTTTACCTTGGACTGGCGCGCTACTCATCGGCGCCGCCCCCAGCAAGAACAGCGCTCCCGCTCAAGATTTGTTTATACTCAGAGCCGGTGCTTTTGCTCGCCGCCGAAAACCTCCGCCCCAACAAAACCAGCGCTCCCTCCCGAGACTTCCTCCCGTTTTACGCTGGCGCCGAACTCTCTCTTGAATTGGCGCCGCCCACGGCAAGAACAACGCTCCCGCTCGAGGCTTCCTCCCTTTTTCCTGAAGACGGTGCTGTTCCTCGCCGCCGACAGCCCCCGTCCCGCCAAAACCGCGGCTCCCGCTCGAGACTTCTTCCCTTCTTACTCAAGGCGGTGTTCCTCCTCGCCGCCGACAACCGCCGTCCCAACAGAACCAGCGCTCCCGCTCGAGACTTCGTGTTGTTTCACGCTGGACTAGCGCCTTACTCTCTTCTGCATTCTCGCCGCTCCCAGCAACAACAGCACCCCTGCTCGAGACTTCCTCCCTTTCTATTCAGGGCCAGGTCCTTGCCTCGCCGCCGACAGCCCCTATCTCCATCAAGCCAATCCTGTCGCTCGATACTTTCTTGTGCTTTACCCTTGGCTGGGGTTCAACTGGCGGCTTCGCATCGGCACAGCAGGGCGGGGGCATGTGTTTTCGAGGCGGGATGTGTTGGAATTCCTCGGAGGAGGTGTTTGCAAGATTTCATTGGGCGGGAGATTTGGGAATGGTAATAACGGACCCCGCGATAGAACAGTAATCCCCCATGATGGGGATGTTTGTCATGATGGTCGCATGCTGCGTGTGGAAGCATCTCGCATGAGGTTCAAATGATTGTTGTTGCTGTTGTTGTTGCTGCTGCTTTTGGCCTTTCGGGGTCTTGCCGGGCCCCGGAACCGTAACAGGAGCGACCAGGGATGGGCATTACGTAGTCCTTGGGGAAGGGGTCCAGACCTCCGCGGGTCACGTTGTGAAAAAAACGTCGACGGTCTGGTGAGAAGATCCAGACCGAGTTGTTCGCGTGATTCTGAGCCTTCGGGGGCAATCTTCGTGTTTCTGGACAGCAGTCATGGGCAGTGAGAGGGGAAGATAGGCTCAGTGGGGCTCGCAACGACCCCCGATCGCCCATGGATCGGCGACAGGGGCTCGATAGTCCGCCACGCCCAGGCAAGTTCGGTTTCGCTATCGGGGGCCTATCGCTGATCAATCGGCGATGCATCGCCGATCCCAGCTCGATGTTCCCCCCCCCCGAAGCCAGTCCCCCGTTATCGTTTCCCTTCGATATATGGACGTTATCAGCGACGAAAGGTTGAACCCTGGGAAGGGGTCGGGAGCTCGTTGGGGGCCCCGTCTTGAGAAACCGCGAGGTTGCGACGGTGGGGCCCCCCGACGGTCGCAGGTGATGGCGGTCTGCGGCCCCTTTCTCCAAGGGATCTTGGCCGCTTCCCCGGGGTCTGCTTCTTATGTCAATACGTCCCGTGGCCCTCCCTGGGCTGCGCACGTGCTCCTGGCCAGGATTTGCGGACCCCCCTCTTGGACGCCCCCCCCCCCCGGGACGACCCCGACCGACGGGCCCCAGGGCAGGGAGATGGACCCTGCAGGCCGAGTGCGCAGAGAAAGCGGCCGTCACGCTTGTTTTTGACGCGCGGGTCTGAGGGTCCTCTGCAACTCGCCCCCAAGCCCGTCTTCGGGTGCGACCTGGCCTTGCGACGAAGGGCCTCCAGGAGCCCCGTCGAGGCCCCAAGTCGGCCCAACATTTTTTTCCTCGAGCCTTGATCCTCGCCAGGTCTCACTCACCGAGCATGAGCCCATTCGCGTCCAGATCGAGTACGTGCACCAGGCCGCCTCCTCCTCTGACGGCGACAACGCCGACGAGGGGTTTTTACGACGACGAAGAGGACACATAATGACAATAATGTGAAGAAGACGAAGGCGACGGCGACGACGACGAGGATGACGACAACGACACCGAGGAAGAAGATGGCGACGACGTGCATCAGGCCTCCGCCTCTTACGTGCGCCTCTACTGGTCGTCCACTGCTTTCGAGGAGCACGGCGGGCGGCCGGCTGCCATGGGGCATGGGGCCCTCCTCCCGCGCTTGAGTTATTGTTTAGTATGTTTGTGCACCGTGTGGGGATATGCACGTAGCACATATATATATATATATATATGTGTGAGAGAGCGTGATCCACCGCCGCTTTACTGTGGAAAATTGCCAACTTTTTCCTCCGGAACCCGGGGGTCGCCCCCCCCCCCCCCCTCCGAAAATCCCCCCCCCCCTGCTGGAAACCCCCTCCCCCCCCCCCCCCCCCCCCCCCCCCCCCCCCCCTCCCCCCGCAAAACCCCCCCCCCTCCCCTAACCCCCTCCCCCCCCCCCCCCCCCCCCTCCGCTCGAAACCGGGGGGGTCACTACCGGTTCGAACCCCTCCCCCCCCCCCCCCCCCCCCCTCCGGATCCGGAAAACTGGGGGGGCCACTACCGGTTCGCACCCCCCCTTCCCCTTTCCCCCCCCCCCCTACTCACCGCCAGCAAACGACTCCCGGTCCCCACCACCGTCCGCATCACATCCCCCACTGGTGTTCCCAGCACCACTGTCCTCACCACCGCTGTCCCCGCTGGTTCCACCACCGCCCCTACTGTCCCCACCAGTGGCCCCACCACTGTCGCACTGTCCCCGCTGTCCCCAGAACTGTTCCCACCACGGTTCCACTCTCCCCACTGTCTCCACGGCCCCAACCACTGCCCGACTATCCTCACTGTCCCCACTGTCCCACTGACTCCTCCGCTGTCCCACTGAGCTGTCCCACTGTTCCCACCACTGTCCCCACTGTCCCCACCACTGTCCCCACTGTACCTCTGTCCCATTGTCCCACCGCCGTCCTCGCCACCGCCTTCACCACTGTCCCCACCACCATTGTACCCTCCACTGTCCCACTGTTTCCACCTCATTCCCATTGTCCCCACACCACTGTCCCCACCACCACCGTCACCACCACTGTCCACTGTCCCCCCCTGTTCCCACCATTGTCCCCACCACTGTCCCCACCACTACCGTCCCCACCACTGTCCCACTGTCCACTGTCCCCACCACTGTCCCGCTATCCCCTCACCACTGTCCCCACCAACACCGTCCCCACCACTGTCCGCACCCCCACTCGGTTTTCGAGGGGGGGGGGGGTTCGAACCGGTAGTGACCCCCCCGGTTTTCCGATCCGGAGGGGGGGGGGGGGGGGGGAGGGGTTCGAACCGGTAGTGACCCCCCCCCCTTTTCATGATGAGAGGGGGGGGGGGAGGGGTTCGAACCGGTAGTGACCCCCCCCGGTTTTCCGGAGGGGGGGGGGGAGGGGTTCGAACCGGTAGTGACCCCCCCCGGTTTTCCGCCAGCAGCGGTAGAACACGCTCTTTCATATGTGTGTAGATACACTACATCTGTTGCCGCGCCGTTTGTTCCGACGCGCGGCCTTGCGTCTGGGGGAAGATGCCTAGGCCACCAGGGCACCCGCCTTCGACGCAGAGTTTGCCGCGGGTTTGCCGCGGTATCGGCTTCGTCTGCTGGGGCGCGGGGCGCAGGTCTTGACGTTGGTTTGCCGTGGTGTCGGCGTCGTCCACGTGGGCGCGTTCAGAACAAACGGCGCGGGGACACCCACACCCACACCAACACACACACACACACGCACACACACACACACCCACACACCCACTCACCCACACACCCACACAACCACACACACACACCCACGCACCCACGCACCCACGCACCCACCCACACACACACACACCCACTCACCCACACACCCACACAACCACACACCCACACACCCACACACCCCCCAGCCCCACACCCACACCCACACCCACACCCAAACCGCACCCACACCTACACCCACACCCACACCCACACCTATTCACACACACACACCCACACACAACACACACACACGCGCGCGCACGCACACGCACACGCACACGCACACGCACACGCACACGCACACGCACACGCACACGCACACGCACACGCACACGCACACCACACACCCACACCCACCCCACACCCACACCCACCCACACCCACACCCACACCACACACCCACACCCACACCCACACCCACACCCACCCCACACACCCACACCCACACCCACACACACCACACCCGCACGCGCACACGCACACACGCACGCACACACACGCACCGCACGCACGCGCACGCGCACACGCACCCACGCACCGCACGCACGCGCACGCGCACCGCACGCACCACACACGCACACACGCACAACGCACACGCACACGCACACGCACACGCACACGCACACGCACACGCACACGCACACGCACACGCACACGCACACGCACACGCACACGCACACGCACACGCACACGCACACGCACACGCACACGCACGCACACGCACACGCACGCACGCACACGCACACGCACACGCACGCACACGCACACGCACACGCACACGCACACGCACACGCACACGCACACGCACGCACGCGCCACACGCCACACGCACGCACGCACGCACGCACGCACGCACACACACACACACTCACACACTCACGCACTCACGCACTCACGCACACTCACGCGCACTCACGCACCCTCACGCACACTCACGCACACTCACGCACACTCACGCACACTCACGCACACTCACGCACACTCACGCACACTGACGCACACACACGCACTCACGCACACACGCACACACGCACACACGCACACACGCACACACAGACACACAGACACACAGACACACAGACACACAGACACACAGACACACAGACACACAGACACGGACACACAGACACAGACAAACAGACACACAGACGCACAGGCGCACAGACACACAGACACACAGACACAGACACAAAGTCACACAGACACTCGGACACACCGACACACCGACACACCGACACACAGCCACACAGACACACAGACATACAGACACACAGACACACAGACACATGCCTATACGACCTCCCGTCGGGTGGTAAGGAGGTTTTAGGGGGGAGAGGGGGGGAACAGCATCTGCTCAATCGATCTCACTATCGATCTCAGTCAACGGGACACCACGGGAGACCACGGGACACTTGTCGATCTCACTATCAATCTCACGATCGACCTAAATCAACGGGACACCGCGGGACACCACGGGGCACCACAACGATCTCACTATCGGTCTCACTACCGATCTCACTATCGATCTCACTCAACGTGACACCACAGGACACCACGGGACACCTCGGGATACCACATCGATCTCACCATCGATCTCACTATCAATCTCACTATCGATTTCACTCAACTGGACACCACGGGACACCACGGGACACCACGGGACACCACGGGACACCACGGGACACCTGTCGATCTTATTATCGATCTCATTATCGATTCCACTTTTTGGGGCACCACGGGACAACACGGGACACCTCGGGGCACCACATCGATCTCAGTATCGATCTCACTATCGATCTCACTCAACGGGACACCACGGGACACCAGGGGACGCCCGTCGATTTTACTATCGATCTCACTATCGATCTCACTTTTCGGGACACCACGGGATACCACGGGGCACCACATCGATCTCAGTATCGATCTCACTATCGATCTACTCAACGGAACCCCGCGGGACACCACGGGACACCACGGGACACCTGTCAATCTCACTATCGATCTCACTATCGAGCTCACTTTCTAAGACACCACGGGAAACCTCGGGGCACCACATGGATCTCAGTTTCGATCTCAGTATCGATCTCACTATCGATCTCTTTTATCGTTCTTACTTTTTGGGGCACCACGGGACACCACGGGACACCGCGGGCCACCGCCGGACGGAGGGAAGGCGGAGGAGCAACATTTGTCTTGACTTCGCCCTAGCAGCGGCGGGTTCAGTCCTCTCGCGCGCCCACGCAGCTTCGCCTCGCCCGCACGCACGACACGAACGAAACAAAACGATTTCCCGGGTGGAGGTCGCCGTTCTACTGCGATTTCACCCCCCAACCTCCGATCGATCTAACTAAACGGGACACCACGGGACACCACGAGACACCTGTCGATCTCACGATCGATCTCAGTTTCGAGCACACTTTTTGGGCCACCACGGGACACCTCGGGGCACCACATCGAACTCAGTATCGATCTCATTATCGATCTCACTATCGATCTCACACAACGGGACACCACGGGACACCTGTCGATCTCACTATCGATTTCACTATCGATCTCACTATCGATCTCACTGTTTGGGACACCACGGGACATCACTGGACCACTTTGGGCACCACATCGCTTTCGGTATCGATCTCAGTGTCGATCTCACTCAACGGGACACCACGGGACACCACGGGACTCCTGTCGATCTCACTATCGATCTCATTATCGATCTCACTGTTTGGGACACCACGGGCGTACGGGACACCACGGGACACCTCGGGGCACCACATCGATCTCAGTATCGATCTCACTACCGATCTCGCGATCGATCTCAGTATCGATCTCACTATCGATCTCACTACCGATCTTACTCAATGGGACACCACGGGACACCTCGGGGCACCACATCGATCTCAGTATCGATCTCACTATCGATTTCACTTTTTGGGACACCTATGGACACCACGGGACATCTCGGGGCATTACATCGCTCTCAGTATCGATCTCATTATCGATCTCGTTATCGATCTCACGATCGATCTCACTCAACAGGACACCACGGGACACCACGGGACACCACGGGACACCGCGGGCCTATGCCGGACGGACGGAATGCGGATGTGCATCATTTGTTTTGACTTCGCCCTAGCAGCGGCGGGTTCATTCCTCTCGCGCGTGCACGCAGCTTCGCCCCGCCCGCACGCACGACACGAACCAATCGAAACGATTTCCCGGTTGGGGGTCTCCGTTCCACTGCGATTTCCCCCCCAACCTCCGACATACACACAGACACACAGACACATACACATACATGTGTATATATATATATATATATATATATGTGTACTGGTCATCCAGATGTTTTGTTACTAATCACTCCTTTTGGTGCATGCTTGCATTCTGTGGTTCTGCGGTATGCACGTGTGGAAAGTAGATATCTGTTCAACAAGACATCGGCCCTAGAGAGGAGAAAGATCCTCCTCCTTCTCGTTCGCCCTCTTTCTTTTCCTTCTCGTTCCTTCTTCCCCTCTTCGTTCCTCGCTGATCGCTCCCTCTCCTCCTCCTCGCTTCTCATTCCTCCACCTTTTCCTCCTCCTGTTCTTCGTTCTCTCGTCCTCCTCGCTCGCTCGCTCCTTGCTCGTCCTCCTTCTCGTCCTCCCGGGTGGTCTCCAGAGGCTTCTGAAGCTCCAAACAGGGCCAACAATCAGGATTACCCAAACAATTTTATACTATGTGTGCGTCGTCCCCTCGGGGGCGACGCGCGCGCTAAGAAATCTTATTTATAGGTTTGGTGGCGAGCGCTCTCTGACGATACCGTGTGGATAATGACATACTACAGTATGTTTGTACTATAGGTTCTGTCCTCGATCCTCGATCTTCACCCTTCCGCCGCCGCCGCCCGAGGAAGAGATCGTGCCCACAGAGCCCCTTGCCCAGCTCTCCGCGCGCCCGGTCGTTCGCGGCCTCGCGCGGGGGGGGGAAGCTTGGGCGGCCATCGCGGCAATAACTTTTGACGCCGACAGCGACGACACTTGGACAACACGTGGACGAGGAGGAGGAGGACGACGACGATTACGACGACGCTGACGACGACGAGGAGGACGGGGATGACGACGATATCGACGACGACGAGGACGAGGAGGACGTCCACGACGACGACGATGACGACGACGACTACGATGACGACGAAGACAACGACGACGACGCTGACGACGACGAGGAGGACGGTCCTGACTACGAGATCGACGATGACGACGACGACGGAGACGCCGACAACGGCAAGGACGTCGACAAGGGCGACAAGGACGACGACGTCGTCGTCGACGACGGCGGCGTCGGCATACCTGGGGTAGTCTCGGCGGGCTGCGGCCGAGGTACCTCCTGTACCCGCTCAACGTGCTCGGCGCAGGACGCCGCCGCGGCCTGTAGCCTCTCGCGGCCTGGCGCAAGGGGGGGAGGCGGGCTTGCGGGCGAGTGTCGGTCGTGCTCGAGCAGTGGCGAAGCGCCCACCAAAGAATGTTCTTAGGACCTTTTCGGTGGTTTGCGCGACATGCTCTTAGAATGCTTCGAGCATTTCTGGCTGAGACCGTCTTGTTTGAGTCCGTCGACTCCTTCTTTAAGCAGTGCTTGCACTTAGAGGTTCTTATTTGTTTTCTGGGGAACCGGGCGTTCGCGTCGGTCTGGCGGTACGTACTCGCCGTTGCCGCCCCGTCGCCGCCTCGTCGCCGCCCGTCGTCTGGGCCTGCGCGTCGGTCTGGTGGCTATTTGCTCGCCGTCGCCACCCCGTCGCTCTGTGCCTGCTCGTCGGTCTGGCGGTTATGTGGTCGCCGTCGCCGCCCCGTCGCTGTTCTGGGCCTGCGTTACTTGGCATTGCTTTGCATGAATTTGCAATGCATTGCTTTGCATTGCGTTGCTTTGCATTGCTTTGCATTGTCTTGCGCTGGTTTGCATTGCTGTGCATTTCTTCGCATGGCTTTGCATTTCTTCGCATTGCTTTGCGGTGCTCGGCGTTGCTTTGCATTGCTTTGGATTGCGTTGTATTCCATTGCATTGCATTGTGTTGCGTTGTTTTGGATTGCTTTGGACTGCTATATAGTCGCATTCCATTGCTTTGCGTTGCATCGCGTTGCTGTTGATTGCGTTGCATTGCATTGCGTTGCATGGCTTTGCATTGCTTTGCATTGCTTTGCGTTGCCTTGCTTTGCTGTGCGCCACATAGATTGCGCCACGTGGATTGCACCGCCCAGATTGCACCACACTTATTGCACGACTTAGATTGCACCGCGTATTCTGGAGGAAACCATTGTTTGGGGCCCACGCTGGCTAGCTTTTTTGTCCTGAGAACATGTCGTGGTTTGCTTGTGGGAATGCCGGGACGGTCGGTCCCTGCTCAACATGCGTACGGGTGACCCGTCGCTGGAGTGCTTTCACGTGCGAGCGCACAGGGGCCGCCCCTCCAGTGGCTTGCGCGCGCGGGTCTGGCCCCCCCCCGCGGCTCCCTAAAGCCGCGCAGCACATGTCACTCTTGCCTAGGGCAGCTCTTGCGTGTAGGCGGGCGGGTGGGGTGGGCGAAGGTCGTTGCAGCAGCAGCAGCTGGAGGCTCAGAGACTCAGAGGCTCAGGGAGGAGGAGACGGAGGCAAAGGCAAGTCGCCAGGACCGCCGCCGCCGCCCTCTCATAGCCTGCTCTCACAGCCCCTCATCGAGTGGCGTAGGTGGCGGACCCCCGTGAGATCCAGTGCGCCACCGCAAGGGAGGGGCAAGGAATCTGGCGCGTGTCGCAGACATTGGCCGACGTGGAAAACAGAAACGGGGTGGGCGATTGCCAGAAGGGGCCCTGAGATCCTGGCGCCGCATTCTTTTCGCACCCATAGCGCTCAATGGCACCAGATGGACCCAGTAGCGCCGAATATCGCTCAAAGAGCGTCCAGTAGACCGCCGTGTGAGGGAGACGCATTATGTCCGCATTGCGCGCGATTGGGCGCTGTATTTGTCGCTGTGGGTACGACCCAAAGCTCCCGTGAATTGTTTTCTAGCCATGTCGGGCCCGGGGCATTTCGGGCCCGGGGCCCTTCGCGGATCGATCTGGCCCCACCCTTGCCGCATACAGATTACGGTCTTGGGCTTAGGTCGTTATTTGTGAGATGTTGCACTTTTCTCGCCACGTCGGACCTCAGGGCAGAAGGGCGGAAGGGTAGGGGGATGGGGTGAGAGGAGGAACAGTCACCGATACCGCTGTTCGTCTTGGAGACCCCTGGCCACCAATCTGCGACCACTTGCGAATCCTACGCCTGCGTGTCCACTCGATGCTAGGGTATCTGACACCCCCGCTGGGGTTCACTTGGCTGCAGGCATTCTTGGAATTCTGAACCCCAGCTGCCGTTTCAGAAATCTGACCTACAGGGGGGTAGATTTCACATGTACTTGCTTATTGTAGCAACGGTTGGGTTCTCCCCGGAATTCTGTTCAGGAAGCACCCCACGTATAAACACATTCCGCCACACCCCAACCCAAAATTGTTAGGAGGAGGAGGAGAAGGAGGAGGGAGGAGGAGGAGGAGGAGAAGTGGTAGCGAGGTGGGTGCGGTCGGTGCGTTTGAATGGTGATGATGATGATGATGATGATGATGATGATGATGATGATTTTGATGATGATGATGATGATGATGATGATGATGATGATGATGATGGTGGTGATGATGATGATGATGATGATGGTGATAATGATGCTGATGCTGATGATGATGATGCTGATGATGATGATCATGATCATGATAATGATCATGATGATGATCATTATCATGATGATGACGATGCTGATGCTGATGCTGCTGTTGATGATGCTGATGATGATGCTGATGCTGATGCTGATGCTGCTGCTGATAAAGATGATGATGCTGATGGTGATGCTGATGATGATGCTGATGATGATGCTGCTGCTGATGATGATGATGGTGATGATGATGATGATGGTGATGATGATGGTGATGATGATGATGATGATGATGATGATGATGATGATGATGATGATGATGATGATGATGATGATGATGATGATGATGATGATGATGATGATGATGATGTGTGTCTGTCTGTGTGTGTCTGTGTGTGTCTGTGTGTGTCTGTATGTGTCTGTGTCTGTGTGTGTGTGTGTGTGAGCGGGCAGGCTGTTCTTGGACGCCCCGCGCGCCGGGGGTCGCGAGGCGGCGTGGCGGGCGGCGGTGCGGCGGCGCCTGCTGGAGCGCCCGGGCGCCTCCTGGAGCGCCCGACTAATCAGTGTGAACTAATCACGCGGAGGCTGCCCTGGGCAGCTGCTGTCCCGCGTGCCAGCGGGGTTCGTTGTGTTTCGTCTTCCGTGGTCCTCCTCCTTCTTAGCCCCCTCCTCCTCTTCCGGCTCCTCCGCGCCCTGTTTGTCACCCGCTCTCGCCGTTGGGCTCCCTCTGGAGATTCAAAGAAAGTTTCTGTATGCGTGTGTGGTGGTGCACCCCTGGACAGGTCTGGGAGGGGCGCGATCGGTATTCGTATTTCGTGACCCTCCTGGAGGGGCGGGGAGTGCCCTTTTGCCGTAGCGGGAGGGGGAGAGCCGAAGGGGGGGAAGCGGGTGAGCGGGAGGGCCCAGACTTGCTCGCGCCGTGAAATTTGTGCTACAGTCGAGCATATGATCGGCGTCACCCCAACATATCCAGACCATTTGTGTGTGCGTCGCCCCCAAAATGGCGACGCGCGCACCGAGACATCTTCCAATTGCCATACCGCTCGGGAAACGGTGTACTACAAGATGGCTGTACTATATGTTCAACCTCCTCCCGAACAGCTGAGCCAGCGTTTCTTAACCGACTTGCCTGAAAGCTGGTCCAGTTTCTCGAGCACGTTCGCCCGTTCGGCGTGAACGGCAGAACTTTGCTCAGGTTTGCTTTAAGATACCTCTGGGAAGCTGGCCCAGATTTCTTAAACGATACTTTTCCGAATTATATTTTCCCAGGTTCTGCGCCTCGTGGTCTGGCTCCCACTCTCTGCGGAGTGTGCTTCGGCCCTGGAGGACCTCGTGGTGTGTGTTGGGTCTCGGGTCTGGGGGACAGTGCCTATCGGCGGACTGGGCCTGGCTTGCCTCCCGGCCCACGTGTCCTCCACAGTGCAGCTCCCCCAGGCGCCTCGCCCTTTGACACCGCAGGAGGCAGCACTACCACCAGTGCCGCCCTTCCCCTCACTCCTCCGCTGGCGGTGTGTCCCCGCCTGCGGGCCCTCCCCCCCTCTCTGAGGCCTGGCGCCGTGCTGGCACGCGCTGCGTGGTCCACAGTCGCTTGTTCCCCCCTTGCCCTGTGGAGTGGTCACTCGGGTGTTGGGTCGCCACGGAGCGGTTGAGCCTTCCGCAGCAAGTCAGCACCAAGGCTCCCACCAGCTGCCGGCCAGTGCGCCGCACCAGTTCCGCGACAGCTGCTTGGCTTGCAGACGTCGTCGCGGGCGTTCGGAGTCTGGCGCCCCACAGGCGACTCACTCCACTGGCCTCCCACTGCCTCCACTGCAGCAGGACCCCCCCTGGCAGGCTGCGCAGGCGCTTCACCACTAGACGGCGGTGCCCCACGCCTGCGGGTCTCTTCGCTTCAGGGATCGGCATCGCAGTTGCGCCTTGGGCACAGCCGTATGGCTCCACCTGGCACTGGGAGGCGGATTACTGAGGTCTGGGCGCCGCGTGGCTCAGCCTGCTACGCCTGTACAGCCCTCGGTTTTTCTTTGAATGCAGAGCATTTTGTTCAGTGCATGTGCAACTGCACGCTTGTTGTGCAATTAGCTTTGTGCCGCCGTCCCGGACATTGCCTGTTGCCGCCAGACCGTTGTCGCGCGGCCGCCGACCCAAAAAAATATCCCCACCAGCCCATTCAGAGACCCTGACCTTGAGAGCTGACGGGAAAAGGGACGAAGATACACATCTAGTGAAACAAAGCGAGCCACCAGGGTGAACAGAGAGATATCTGGGAGCAAGTGGGTGGCCTTGGACAGCCTCTTTGGGCCATTCCTGGGGGCCGCGTGGGGGCGAGGGAGGGGGGAGGAGGAGGAGGAAAAGGAGGGGGAGGAGGAGGAGGAGGAGGAGGAGGAGGAGGAGGAGGAGGAGGAGGAGGAGGAGGACGACGACAACGACGGAGTTTTTTTGGGGGGTCTCGGGGCGTTCTTGGGGCCCTCTTGGGGCCCTCTTGGAGCTCTCTTGGGGTTCTCTTGGGGGCCTCTTGGGAGCCATGGGGGGCCTCTTGGGGCTGTCGTGGAAGGTGTCGGTGAAAAGCTAAAAGAAGGGGGTGCTAATGTTTAGGTCCCCCTTCTGGACCATCAAAATAGCATCTTGGGACGCTCTTGGTCCCCTCTTGGGGCGCTCTCAGGCGGTCTTGGGAGCATTTGTGTTTTTTTTTGGAGGTCTTTTGGGCCATCTTGGGGCCACCTTGACGCCTCAAACATTCATCGGAAGCGAAAAGACGAGAAGGTAACACCATTGATTTGCCATAGGTTTTTGCAGGATTTTGGCTTCTCGGAGAGGTCCTGAGGGGTCTTTGAGGGCACTTGGAACCGTCTTGTGGCCCTCTTGCGGTGTCTTGGAGGCATGGTGGAGGTCATCTTGAGCAATCTTGCGCTATCTGGAGCCCTCTTGGAGGCTATCTTGGATCATCGGATGCCCCTTTTGGGGCCATCTTGAGCGAAAAGGGGCCCTTTGACGACCAGACCCCTGGGAGGGGAGGGGGAGGGTACCCCTCCCCGAAGGGAAGAGGGGTTTTGGAAGAGTAAAACAAGATATCGTTAGACCACCTACGCCCCGAGGGCTGGTGGAATTTTTGGATATATCGATTATGTAGTCGATCCCCTGCTGAAAAATGCGACGCCTGCCCCCCAGACACCACCACCTTGGTCTCGCCGGACGAGGCCGCGGAATACTCCACCACGAGCGGGGATGCCGTCAGCACGTCGACGTCTGGCCTGGAGAACGTGTTCGCGCCCCGCTCGGCCACCTGCGGGTTAGCGCGCGGCCCCGAGGACCTGGCGGGTTTCGCCCGGTTTGAGGGCGCTGTTGCTTTAGACTCGGGCAAGTGTACTTGCATTGCAGTGTTCAGAGGAGGAAAAGGTACCCATACCGCTACCCTTCCCTCGTGTTTATTTTTGTCGAGCCTCCTGGGAGGCCCTCGTCGCCACCGCTGGATTCGCCTCGAAATCCTCGTCAGAACGCACCCCGGAAGAGGCACCCCACCCTCCCTCCGCCACCTTTTCAAGCAGCGCTGGGCCGAAGAGGCGTGGTGCAAGCGAGTCCATTCTTGTGCGGAGTCCATTTTCTCTTTGGAGCCTCGTCACTCTCCCCACCCTCCCCCTTCCATGCAAGGAAATTCGCCCGAGTCTGAAGGAAAACTGCCTCTTCTTTGCCCCAGGACCCTCGCGGATCCATGTGGCTCGAAAAATGCAGCAAAAAGAGAGGCTCCAGGATTCTCGCGGTGATCTTCTACTATGCTGTTTTTTTGGAACGTCGGATCTCAGGCGGGGGCCCGACGGTCCGATGAACGGGCCATGGGCGGTCGGGGCTGGAGGGATATTCAGCCCGAGCAGTGATCCGGGCTCCCGTTCGGTGCTCGCCTTGCGCCGGACGGCGCCCCGGCGGGAGGCTTCGATCCGAGGAGCCCGTCATTGCAGGTGCTGTGCCGTGGGGTCGGGTCGGAGATGCGACCGTGCAGAATCTTTTGCTCAGGGCAGAAGGTATGCCGTAGGATCTGGAGCGGCCGTTTTTTTAGGGGGGGAGGGGAGTTGATTAGCACCTGAAGTGGGGCTGGGGCGCACCTGGCCACTTCATAGCCATTTTCATATGGAGAGGGCATTGCATCTCGTGCGACGCA